TTGAGTATTAACTCTATTATATGATTCCTGCTCGAAAATGGGTTTCTTCTATTCATGTCTGTAGACACTTAAATTTTGATAAATATTGATTATTTATCAATATTAGTATATTTAAATATATTTAAAATATTTTGGATAATATTGATATTATCTAAATTGTTAATTAGATAATATCAAAAGAGTTTGAGCTTATCAAAACTCTCTATCCTACAGCTATAGATAGGAGCTCTCATTTCTATGTAAACACACAGATCCTCGGAAAAATCATAGAAAGAACTCTTGAAGCTTATTTAGGAATCACAATAAAAAATGTGATACTGAAAGTAGAAGTCTCTCATCCAATCCAATCATGCCTGTTGATCCAAACCTTCATTGAAGATTAAGCCATTTGAACCCGGAGGCCCTTCAAGAAGAACAAGCTATGCCTGTTGATCCAAACTTTCATTGAAGATTAAGTCATTTGAACCCGGAGGCCCTTCAAGAAGAACAAGCTATATATACCAGCCCTTCTTTGAAGATCAAGCCACTTGAAACCCGGAGGCCCTTCAATGGTGGAGAGTTCAAGACATCAAATTGAAGAATCAGAGGATCATCCATTCAATTTTCTTTGTTCGCAATGTCATTTATATTCATCATTTCTTGAACAATAGATGATCATTGTAGCTTATATGAGTGAAATGATTATTGAAAATTATTGGGTGAAATGATTTTTTTTTTTTTTTTGTGTGGCTTTGATTGCCAAGATTGTGTTGTTTTTAATTACAAGATATGTTAATAATTTAGTTTCCTGAAGAAAAAAAAAAAAAGTAGAACCAATGATTTATTTAATACACATCATAAAAAAAAAAAGGGCCAACAGCATTGTGGTTTGGTACTTTTGTTTTGTGCTGAACAGGCCAACATCATTACAATCGTTATGCTTGCAACTGTGTGCACCATGCATAGTGCACACGGTTGCAAAACGACACCGTTCCATTAAAAAAGAAAAATCGTTCCAATAAAAAAAAAAAAAAAATTCGTTCGAATTGTTGTTAACGGCGTTAAGCGGTTTTCTTTCGTATTCAAACACTGAGATATATCCATAACTTCATAACTATATATCCAGAATTACATAACTATATATCCAGAATTACATAACTATATATTCATAATTTGACAATAGTACATTTAGAAATTAATAATTACACATCCATAATTGACCTTATCGATTCTGAAAATATAGTTCATTCTGGATATATAGTTAATTCGTTCTGAATATATAATTCAAATTATGTACAGCATAATGCCCTTAACGATAACCAAAAATGATTTTTTTTTTTAAGTTGGACGCGTAATTTTTAATCAAAACGACATTGTTCGTATGATGCACACGGTTGCACGGCATAATTTGCGACAGCATTACTGTTTGGCCCAACATCTTCATTTTGGAGCAGACAAGCTGGCAAGATAAGTTGGGCCCAATTGGATTGGTCATATATACTCATTCCTGTTGCTGCAATTCATATGCTTCACTACAATGATTCTATGAAGCACAACCTTTTTTAGTCTTGTGTTGAACCATGGCCCTTTTATGTGGGCAAATTATACCGTGTTATATGGATCATAATAAAAAGTAGATTTTTAATATATTAAATGTACATTATTTTTAAACTGAGTGTACATTATATTATATAATGTACACTCATTAGTACACAAATAATGTACATCTCTTGAATACAATGTACATTATTTTTGTACTAAATGTACATATTTTTACAGTATACAAAATATGGTCCATACTGTAGACACAGAAAATTTGAAGCCGACAAGTGGACCGATTAAATCATTATCAAGCCCAATTTCAGGGTTAATCATTAGTCCAATTTAATTAATTGGGCTATGATAATTAAATTAATTTAATTAGTCCAAGCAAATTTGATTTGGGCTATTGAATTAAGTAATTAATTGGTCCAAACCTATTTCATAATTGAATTATAATTATAATTATAATTTAAATATAATATGATTTTATTATATTTGAATTAGATAATTATAATTTAATTTGAATTTGAATTAGATGATAGAATAATGAACCTAGACTTGATTTTGGCCAGGTTCATTTTAGTATATAATTAATTAATTTAATTAACTAAATATTAGTGGAGTTTGTTGAGGGATTTTAGTTACAAACTTCACTATAAATAGAGCCTCAATTCCATTCTTCAAATCACATCTTAAATACATTGAGAACAACTTGAAGACTTGAGAGCTTGAAGGCATTGAAGAACGCTTGACAACTTGAAGGCTTGAAGATTTGAGAGCTCTTTTGAAGGCATTTGAAGATCTGGAAGAATTAAAGGCATTGAAGGCATTTTTTTTGCAGGTTTTAAAGATCTTGAAGCAACTTGAAGCAACTTGAAGCCCTTTTGTAGGTACTTTGAAGATCTTGGAGCCTTTTGAAGGCAACTTGAAGCCATTGCAGGAGCTTTAATTTGATGTTTTGCAGAGTTTATTGCTTCGGAGCTTAACGTTTGCTGTTGAAGATCGCGCCACTTGAATCCCGGAAGCTACGCTATTTAAATCCCGGAGGGCACGCGCCACTTGAATCCCGGAGGCTACGCTATTTGAATCCTGGAGGCATTTCAATAGATAACGGCATTGAAGAACGCTTGAAGACTTGAACGCATTTTTGTTGATTTTGCAGGCAATTTGAATCCATTGCAGGGTTGATTACTTCTAAATTCTTGACGCTCGTTGTTGGAAGTCACGCCACTTGAATCCCAGAAGCTACGCCGTTTAAATCCCGGAGGCATGCTCCACTTGAATCCCGGAGGCTACGCTATTTGAATCCTGGAGGCACTTCAATAGATAACGGCATTGAAGAACGCTTGAAGACTTGAACGCATTTTTGTTGATTTTGCAGGCAATTTGAATCCATTGCAGGGTTGATTACTTCTAAATTATTGACGCTCGTTGTTGGAAGTCACGCCACTTAGATCCCGGAAGCTACGCCACTTAAATCCCGGAGGCACGCGCCACTTAAATCCCGGAGACTACGCTATTTGAATCCTGGAGGCACTTCCATAGATAACGTCAGTGAAGAATCAGAGGACTAGACAGAGATTTTGTACCTGCATTGAATTATACACACGCTGTACACGAAATTTTGTGAATATATACAAAGTTTACTGTTTTGTGTTTACACACACAACTTGTATGGACCATAGTCCAGACAATAATGATTGCTTTATGTGGTATCATGCTATTAAGTAATACCATCTTAGACACCTCTGTGGCTCTCATTGAGAAAAGGTCTCAAGATTAAACTTTGGTGATGGAATATTAATTGATAGAAAATGTATATTAAACATATACTATACTGTAATAGAGTCCACAATATAATTAAAAAAAAAAAAACCATATTGCCATGAGTGAGTGCATCCATCAGGGTCATATTTATTGAATGCAATTCAGCAACCTGTCTCAGATGGAGACAATTGTTTGAGTTGAGAGATGTTATAGATACCGAGGATCAAGCCATAAAGGTGTTAATTGAGTACAAAGTATTTGGCACTAGTTGCACTAGCTGAAAGAATCATATCTAAAAGAATGCACATTTATAATAATTTTTCCAACACCCTTTAGATAGCTGATGATGTCATTAACTCATTATAACGAAAGCATACAATGCATGAATAAAAAAGTATGGAGTATTAAATCACTCTTTGCAATCAGTCAAAGAAAAAACCTCTCGAACTATTAAGTGAACAATAGTATTCACAGACCACTTTGCATGTTCGATATAATTATTTGTGGACCGTTGTTTTGTTGAAATTTAAATAATGAATTGTTGGTTGACCGATAATTCAATTGGTTGGCATTTAGATGCAACTAATCGTGTATTTGGTAATAAATACTCATCTAATCCTTTGAAAAAAAAACAAGGGTTTTCCCCTTTTAATATCTCAAATTTCTTTAAATATTAGTTATAATACAAGTATTGTGCGATAAAATTAATGTCTAATTTGAAAACTGTAATAAGAAAATAATTAATATAAATTTTAATTGTGAAAGTTAATCAATATATGATTGGATTTATGATTTCAAATAATTAAATTGAGTATTTAAAAAAAAAAGTAATAGTAAAGATGAATATTTTTGTAGATAGTTATGAACTTATGATCAAAACTAAAAATCATGTCATTGTAATTTTCATATTAAAATAAATTAGGTATTCTTAAATCTTAATACAATTTTGATAATCATTGATAAGTAAGTACAAATCAACTTATTTTTTGTCGGAACTCGGAAGTAACATATCTATAATGAGTTTACTAATGTTGATGTGGATGAGTAATGAAATAGTTATGTAATATAATTCCAATAAAATTATAGTGTGTGAAGTAATGATTTTTTTTAAAAAAAAACATATGATTGAGACATTGATTCTAGTTATATTCGAACTCTTCCTCGTGCACAGGACCAGTCATATAAACGGATTGTCTATCTAATGTATGAGCTACTTGATTCGTTGATCGTTAGGCAAAAGATAAAAACACGTGAGAGAAATCTTTCATCAAGTTTCTAATATAATTGAGATTTTGAATCACCTGTAGAGAATTTGTTTCAACATGACAACATGAACGCTATTGGACAATTTTTCTTTTAACAAATCTCTAACAAAAACCTTCAAAAAATCTCTAACATAATAATAATAATAATAATAATAATAATAATAATAATAATAATAAAATAAACAAATAAATAAATTCCACGTCTTTAGGAAAAATGTTGACTGCCATACCGGGAACTGAATAGGGGTAATAGTGTCTTTCTACAAACAATCTGGACACTTTGTCATCCCTGAAACAAGAAATTGATCAGCTCCTTCCTAGAGCCTCAATCCGCGTTGTAATTTCTCGCTCTGTGGATGGTACTCTCTCTCTCTATCTGATTCAATCTCTCTATTTCTCTCTCTCTCTCTCTCTCTCTCTCTCTCTCTCTATATATATATATATATATATATATATGCGATTTGTGTAATATGCCTATGTTTTGTTGCTTCACCAAATTATGTTACCCTGGAGATTTGAATTCAGTTTTGTTTTGCTTTGACATTTGAAATTAATCATTTTCTGATGTAGTAAGAATCTGTAAGTCTTTTATCGTAACATTGTAATTTTTGCTTTTTTTATTGGTGATTTATCGATTTTATCTGGGGAGTTTGGTTGCATCGTAGAAAATTGTGTGAAATTGTTACCTCGGAGATCATTATGGTTGAATTAGTGGACGTGTATTGAAATTAGATTGTTTCAGTAAGATATTTCTTTTGGAAATTTGGTAGTATTTGATACGGGTTTGTCATACCATCTGATAGTTGGCCCGTGTTTTTGTTAACTGGAAAATGAGAAAGGAGGCGTCATTAAGAGTGTTTTCTGTCATTTTGTCAAATCGAGCAGCACAAGAAAAGAATTTCAACTATTGGAGAAGTGTTATGCAGTTTGCTTAATTTTGCAAGACAATAATTTTAGCCCGTTCTTGGTCTCTTTTGAGTTGATGAAAGTGGTGTGGTGGTTCATTGATAAGTTGATTCACGACCAATTAGTTATAAGGGTTTAAGTGGTTTGTTCCTTTCCATTGGTACTTCACCAAATTGATGAATTAAAGATGTTAGATTGGTGGACTAATAACATCCATACTGTGATTGGCTATGAATGATACTGTATGACTTGGGGTTCAATTGCAAATATACACCTGATTAGGCAGTATTGGATTTGGTATATACACCCTTGGTTCAAATATAGGTCAAGAACATGGAGCTTTGAATAACCCAGCAGATCTGATCTGAACTGTCTAAATGTGCAGACAGACCTGATCTTTTGTTAATTGGAACATGACCAAAGATAAATGGTACTAAGTGAGCTCTTGGGAGGGGGTGGGGCACTCCAATTCATAAGTTAGCCCCTGAAGAGGGAGATGGTGATTGCTGACTGTGTGGTGCCCTGAGCTGGGCTGTAAAATGTTATGCTGAAATAGTGTATTGGGAACTAAATAGGATTTTTTTAGCAGCCTTTTTGTTAGTAAAAAGGAAAGAAGTAGGCAAGTACGGGTTTTGTATCTCCTTCAATTGCTGTCTTTTCCTCCTTCACTGCTCATTAATTAATCCGTCAATCAACAGCTTTTCTCCGACGTGCCATCATTGGAAGATCTAGATTTTCTAGTCAAATTTTCAACTTGTGCTTTCTTCATTCTTAAGATATGGCTGCCAAAATTATATTTGCTATATGGGCCTCCTTTTGTCCCAACAACCAACCCTTTGGGCCTTGTTAAATTGATTCCTTTGGCGTATTGATGGGCAGCAAAAATTTTATACCATGTTCTGTGTGCAAATTCGCCTCATAATTCTCAAATGATAGGACTCTTAGTTTGTAAATATTGTGGCTTTCACAAATGTGTATATTTCATTTGACTGGTTTGTTTTGTAACAGACATTAAGTGACTTTTGAGGTTAAGTTTGTATTCATAATTGAAACATTTTTATGTCGAATTAATAATATGAAGCTATGTCAATTAAATTCATATTTACTTAGATTATACTTTTTTTTTGGTCATAATTTCAGTTTTACTTCTGTCCATCTATTTAATACTCTGTATTTCTTTCTAGGAGATGTGTGCCAATTAATACTGTTTCTTTTCCAATGATAGACTTATTTCAACTCTCAAATTTTCCATGTTTATTCTGTATATACAGGCAGTTCTGCTTTAACAGTCCAGAGAGTAGGGGGAAACTACTTAACTACATAAAGTGATCTGTAGTTTATCACACTTTTAGCCAGGAATGGCAGAAAAGGCATGTGTGAAGCGCTTGCAAAAGGAGTATAGAGCACTCTGTAAAGTAAGAAGCCTTCTTTAGTTTCCAAATATTTTATAGTTGTGAGGGCACACTATTTAGAGTGCTAGTCATCCATATTGGATGAATTAGTATTGAAACTTTATTTCAAGGATTATCGCTTTTATGATATAGTCACATCACATGGCATTTACTGTTAATGTGGCTGATTGCTTAAATTTGTTAAGATCTTATTACTGGTGTTGAAATGATATAAATCTTCAGATATCAGTGCACTGTGCCTCAACACATTTCTGCTTTCCTATTCTGGAAATGGAAACTATCATCAAATTTCAACGTCTCATTCAACACTAGTTTGAAAAATTCAATGCTCTTATGAATTTTGCAGGAACCTGTTTCAAATATTGTTGCTCGGCCATCTCCAAATAACATTCTTGAGTGGCGTAAGTCACTGAATCTGCTTATTTTTCTTTGATTCTGTTTTTAGGCATTAAACTTTATTCCCTCCATCCCTTGTAGGGTTGGTTGTTTTATTTTATTTTATTTATTTATTTATTTTGTCTCAAGGCTTTGTATTCATAAATTGACACATTTTATATTTCATGTTATTTTCCTATTAATTATTCCCTGCTTACAGATTATGTGTTGGAAGGGAGTGAAGGAACACCTTTTGCAGGTTTGTTATTTTGTTCTAGTTCTAGTATTATACATCAAGTTGATGTTACCCATTTGTTGGGTAAAATAATGATATATTCCATAGTGAAATCACCTTAAATAAATTTTATGCATAATCTTATTGCCTAACTTTTGAACAATCTTTCTGTCATGTGCTCCATGAAATGTGAATGACTGCTAGGTGGGTTTTATTATGGGAAGATCAAGTTTCCTCCCGAATATCCGTATAAACCTCCAGCAATCAGGTATTCTGAGTTCTGGTCACTTAAAAAAGTTTCTCAATTGTTGCTTCCTTGCACTCATGTATTGCTAGTTCTAGATTTCTGTTTTTCAAACTGACCAATATTAACATCCAGTATTGTTTTTCTTTATGTAAGGATGACTACTCCAAATGGACGATTTATGACGGAAACAAAAATATGCCTCTCTATGAGTGATTGTAAGTATTTTTTAGAGTTATTTTGACTTGAAGAGTTGAAAATTATGGTGCTTCTTTCTCTATAATGCTCACTTTTCTATGGCCATAATGGTTGTCAGTCCATCCGGAGAATTGGAACCCTATGTGGTCGGTCTCAAGGTAAGGAACAGGCAGCGTTAGACAAAATTTTACTTTCCATCTCTTGCTACTTCTAATTTTTGTTCTTTATAGCTGATTTTCCTTTATTGTTCATGCAGCATTCTCACAGGACTGCTCTCATTTATGGTAAGTTTATTTTTATTTGTCCACACCAAAGTTCAAAGAAAAACTCTAATTCGTCACATATGTGATGCTATTATGCATTGATTGCCTTTTGCTCCCAGGCTTCTCTCTTGCTTTAGCTGCATTTCTGTTTATATTTCCCCTGCAGATGGATAATAGTCCAACTACAGGTGGCGTAATGACAACGACTGCTGAGAAAGAAAAACTTGCAAAGGCTTCTCTTGCTTCTAATTGTAAAAAGTGAGCAAATTCCATTTGCTACATATCTCGTGAATGTATAAGATAAATTATTTGTACCCCATTATAACATTACCAAGTGTTGTTATTCATGACTAGTTTTACTTTACTGTTCATCATTAACCACTAAAAGATGTCAGTTTGGTCCTTCAAATTCATATTTTTTTCCTTTTCTACAGCCCAACATTTAGGAAGTTATTTCCAGAATATGTGGAGAAGTACCAACAGCAACAGCATCAGCAGCTTGCCTCGCAATCTGTCTCAGAGCAGGCGTCGCCTACGTCAACTCAACGAGAAAATTCCAGACTGTTGGAGGGAAATAGCAATATAAACAACGGAGATTTGAACGGTGTGGAGCCTCCACAAGAAATGCGAAACAGAAGGAAACAAGCTTTCCCAACTTGGCTGTTGCTTCTGGTATTCTCTGTTTTTGGCATTGTAATGGCTTTGCCTCTGCTGCAGCTTTGATGATATCCAGGGCCGCGAGATTCTGAGTTTCGTTTGCTCGCCTTTTTTTTTTTTTTTTTTTTTTTTTTTTTTTTTTTTTTTTTGTGAGTACTGTGGGTGCTGAAGTATTTGATGTTCTTGAATGATTATGTAGGTATCATGGTTTGTGTAGGTATGATGGTGTTTAGGTCTAAATTGATAAAACCTGATGTGGTTGTACACTTTCTTGGTAGTATTGGCTCCACAAGTACAACACTACCTTCCTGTGGATATTTCAAATGGCTCTTTTTTTTTTTTTGGTAGTTAAAAAAGACTTTGGTAACATAGTTATCTTATTAGTTAATTTTAATTTATTTGATCACTATTAGCTGTTTGACGGTTAAACAATCAATTATGAGTGTTTGATTAATTAACTTTTTGTAATCGCTTATTGCTCTGAAATGCTAAAATTCAAAAATTACTCAAAGTAATTTTTTTGATCAGTTTTTTGAAAAAGTCATTTTGCATGTAATTATCTATCTGCTAACAACTAATTTACCAAACACTTTTTTATAATCAGTTAATATTATTAACTAGTCAAACTCGCTAACTCAATCAGTTAATAATTATTTACCAAACACCTCCAAAATCTTCTTTGACATTGCCTAGTCTCCAATTATATCTCAAGCTTGGGTTGTAGCCAATTAGCCATTGCCTGGTCTCCAATTATATCCTAAGTTTGGGTTGTAGCTAAGGGTGTGCTTGAGCCGAGCTAAGTTCGTATAGTCAACTAGTTAAGGCTTGAAATTTAATTTGATTTTAAAAATTGAAATTCAATATCTAATTTTTTGAGTTCAAACTTGAATAAGTTCAATTTAAAACAAACAAAAAATTAATAATAGGTATTTTACAATTAAATATCATAATAAAACACCACATTCTTGTACCATGTTTCTTGGTTACTAACTTACTACTGATTCAACAATCCATTCCAGATAATACTGAGATTAATTAAGATATCTCACATATAAAATATGCAGACACAAGGCTCCAATTTCCTTTATCTGCAACAAGAATCAACCAATAAATGAACATCATAACTATATACAATAAACCCATACTAGCTTTGGCTTCTCCCACCCTCTTCAACATCTAAATTAGGACTACCGGGGGTCACCCTTTTCCCCCTGCTCAGCAGCCTCTTCAATGACCTCATCGTTGAAGACTTGTGTTCTTCATCCTCTTCCCCGCCAATCTCCCTGGGAATCTCAATCACCAGCTCTTTTCCCGCTGCTAATGATAAAGAAGAAGATGATGATGAAGGGAGTTGTGCAGAAATGGGACCTTGCCGAGGCTCCTGCAAGCAAGGACCTAAAGTGCTGACCCGAGTTTGATCTCCCCAGAACAGAACATTCGCAGGCAAATTAGCAGATTCCGAGGTCTCTTCTGTGGGCTTCGAAACCGGGTTTCGACAAAGAGGGCAAGTGGAGTGGGAATGAAACCACATATCGATGCAATCCACGTGGAACCCATGGTTGCATTTCGGCAAAAGTCGAGTCTTTTCGCCCTCCGAGACTTGGCTCAGACACACCGCGCATTCCAATCCGTCTTTGAACTCTTTAGGATTGAATTTAACCACTGGGATCGTTTTCAGCACTGACGGGTCCAGCCCCCGGCTGAGGGCGGCGGCGTTCGCCTCTTCTTGATACCCACCCGCGAAGTCGAAGCGGCGCCGCCGCCGCCGCGGCGTGGCGGTGGCGTTGCTGTCACGGCGACCCAACCATCTGGTGTAAAAATGGATCAAGAACACGAATGCGACGGCAAAGAAAATGCTTATGATTGCTACCACCATGACTTTCCCAGTAAGCTCAAGCGCGCCTGAGTCGCCTAGCCTTCCACCTATCCTCTGTGAAGAATCCCCCATTTTTCAGACAAAAGCTAAAAAGTCCGAGGTTTTCAAACGCCAGAAACAGAAAAGGGAGAATCCTGGCCTCCTGGGCTGAGATTTTCTGAGCCTATAGAAGATCTGGAGATTCCAAGAATCAGATTTTGGGAAGAATACAAAGAACAAAATTCCTATTGGGAAGAGTGGTGGGCATATGAAGAGAGAGAGAGAGATTGGTGAAAATAAAAAGAATGAAAAATATGAATTCTAGAAGGAGATGACGAAGAATAGTGGAGTGAAAGAGACAGTTGATAGAAGTTGGCACGCAAGGGGAAGCAGATGAGGAAGAAAGAGCAGTCAGAGAGAAAGAAGAGAGTCAGCATACGCCGGCGTCTTCTTCTTCTTCTTCAACTTCAACTGTCTGCGATGGCGATGAAGAACAATTCAACCATGGAACAGTACCTTTTATATATAACCATTCCAAATTTAAATTTTAGTTACTTTTCAATAAAAATTTCATTTTTTTTATGCATTTACAAATATTATATGGCTTAGACTCTCAAATTTTAATGTTAGACATTTTTCTTGGAATCCACAAGATGAATATAATTTATCATTGTTTTCTGGTTGAATTATGACTTATGATTCTAGTCAATAAATTACGGAGTAAATGATTATATGAATCTAGTGAATAAATGATTATAATAAGGTAAACTAACATATATTTGATAAGCTTAAATCAATAAGGTCAATAGACAATTCTCATAATTTACATAGTATGTAATTTAAAATATTGTGATTACCAAATCAACTATTCGACCAACTTAATTAAGGTTATACATCTATTCTTTATTTTACTTGATACTTCTTCAACTGTTCAACCATTAAAGTTAAACGTATAGCAGATAGATAAGAGATTTATCCACTTTGGACATAATTCTTACACTGTCGTGATCGAGGTACGAACCTTGATCTCTTCTATTAAATACGGCATACTGAATTATTAAGTTAAACTCGTGCAGGATAATGTATCAACGTGCGACAGTTATGCATGAATGACGAATTTAATAAGCATTTGACGATAAATATGGGGGATAAATTGGTTTTGACCAATGCCCAAAATTGAGTATTTTTTATTTTGGAAACGAAGAAAAGAAACATGTGTGAAATGTACTGTTTTGTCTTGTCATTTCGTCGCAAATTCGATAGAGAATGAATTACTGACGTTATGGACGTGAAATTACTGTGAAATTCCGTCTCCATATTTCATTCCACAGGAAAGGACGGATCGGAGTTGGTAAATGTGAATACTAACTTCGAAAATTTTGTTAGAAATTGATTTTTGAGTGCCACACAAATATCTTATTATGTTGTAGAATTATTTTTAATAAAAATATAAATCGATTGGTTGATCTGATGTGAATTACATTATATGAATTATAAATGTGAAAATATTTTTTAGTCACTAATACTTTTCAATAAATCATATGAGAGGTGCGTGCCTCAAAGTCCAGTCATGAATATGGTCGAAGCCTACTTACTTGTGATGGATAGTAAAGATAGAATATGTTTTCAGAGATCCTCTCAAATGTTTGGTCGGAACGGAGTTTGGATGGTCTTTGAAGTTAAAGATTCAACCTTTTAAGAAGAAGAAGATTATAATATGTTGTCAGATGACATAATAAATGAATTAATGCCCTCGCCTCTTTTTTACTTACTATGAATCAATGAGTGTTTATTTTTTGTGAACCTCCTTAAGTGGATGTTACTGGACAACTGGAGTGCGGGTGATGGAAGAAGATGAATTGAATGTTTTTAGAGAAGTTCCTATGATCAATTAATACTAATTTTTTTTTTTAAATTTCTAGCATCTTATAATTCAATAATAATACTATTTTTTTTTTTTTTTGAAAAAATTGTAATGCTTGTTGAATTTTGAAAAATATAATACAAAGTATAATTCTTAATTTGTAATTGTGAAAAAAAAAAAAAAAAAAGAAGAAGAAGAAAGAAGGTAAGATAACAATAGAAAATGTGGATATGTGTGTAGGCATAGAGGTAGGGCTAGGGGTTATCCTATACACATTTAAAATTAAACAAGAGATTATTTAAATAGGCATAGAGACAATGCAAGGGTAATAGGCAAGTAGTTTAGTGGCAGGTTGGGTCGTCACTTTATTGGAATTCATTATTATGATTCTAAATTTGTCTGTTGCAACATTTGAATTTTAGTCTTAATTAAAGAATCCAACTTATAATAATAAATAATAAATAATAAATAAGTAATAAAAGAGCGATGCCACTTTCATAATATTTAACATTTGTAATATTTATAAATTGATGGTTATATTAATCTTTTTTTTAATTTTTATTTTCAACAGTTAAATTTATTAAATCAATAATTTATATTTATTCACAAATTCTCACTTGAAGCGCGCGGGTGCACACACACATAAATTCTCACTTGAAACGCACACGCACACGCACACGCACACACTTCTACAAAACCCATTCATTATCACTAGGCCAGGTAAGAATATAAATCACTGAGACATGTACATTTTTAACATATTATTACAAGTATTTCTTGATATATTAAGTTTTTTTTAATAGTTTGAACTTGATTAATTCTAAGCCTCAAGAATTATGTTCAAGATTTATTAGATGAGGTAAATTGTAAGTCCCTAAACAGTTTTTCAATTAGTCTCTGTCGTTGACTCTGCTGCGCATAAAGAATTCATCTCCACAGTTAGTTTCACACCTTGTCACTGTGAAGTGCTAACTTTAGGTCAGGTAGTTGATCATTTGAACTAGCCCGCGGGGCTACAAATTCATTTTTAATGTCATGCATATTCATTTTAATTTTTTTTTTTGAAAAGATATTCATTTTTATTTGTAATACACTCAAAATAAAAATAAACATATATCGAAATATAATGAACAAACTAAAAGTGAACCTACAATATACTAAAAATACAATTTATATCATGCACAAATAATACTACAGGTTCATAAAATAGATAATTTTTTCGTTAGTAAACATCGTGAGGTATTTGTATGGATGTGAACTGAACCCATAGTTGATAGGGACATGAATAAAAAAAGGGATCCTGGGAATTAAAAATTCCCAGCTAGGGACAGGAGTGGGGATGGAGAGTTATTTATTTGAATTCATTATATCATTTGTACGAAAATACATTTTTGATAACATGTTTAATTGTAAAATATTTAACAGTACTTTAACTTAAAAGATGAATATTTATATGAGTTATTTAAAAAAAAAAAAAATCTTTTTTAGAGGAGTTCAGACTCCCAAAATTCTACTCCCTGAGGTGGCAAATCAGGATTAATTATTTTCATCATTTGAGTCCACAGAAAAATGTCTACATCAAGAACATGTTAGAGGGAATACAAGTTGGGAGTTTAAAATAGGAGTACACCAAGTATTTTTCTTTTTAAAGTTATAAACGTGGTATTGCATGTGGCCTGGTAGGGGATTTTCTGAAGGGATGAGGAGATGTTTAATTTGTTAGAAGAATTTTTAATTTGTTGATTGTTTTTTTTTTTTCATTAACTTGTGATGTAAAAAAACACATAATGATGATTGAATAATTTAAAACTTATTATATGCATTAAAAAAAAAAAAAGTAATCAATATATTCCTGTACATGCAATTGTTATATCCTAAATAAACCTATGAATCATTTCGCCGCAGGATTACTACTTACTAGAATTATCCATATATTTTCATTCATCAAAATAGAAGTAGCATTCCTGGTACGAAAGAGCCACCATTATCGCACTCCCGAAAACTCTGCTACAAATCTTATCCACAGCCAACGAAATCCAATCCCCGACGCCATCACCGGAGCTCCGTCCTTCTCCCCCGTCCCGGCGAACCGTCGCCGGCGCCGCAACATAGCTCCGACAAACAGGGCAACTCCATTTCCCCGTCTCCAACCAAGCATCAATGCACCCACCATGAAACTTATGCCTGCACTTGGGAAGAACCCGAAACTTCTCCCCCGTCGAAACCTCGGAAAGACAGATGACGCAGTCGAAATCCTCGCCGTCTCCATCGCCGTCGCCGTCTTTTACGCGTTCCTCCATTTTTGTCGGCGTTCTGAGCCACCACAGGAACGGCTTGGAACGTGAAAGATGGTTGTTGAGAAGGGACATCATGGGAAAAGCCAAAGCGACCAGAAGGATTAAGTTGCGGGCGGTTAGTATAGTGGACGATGGATCATCATCTTCAACTGCGGCCATGGTTCTGAGCTTTGGATCGCTCGGTTTCTTAGTTTCTGCAACTATTTATGCATTTGGGTTGCGAGGAGAAGTGGGGATTCGTTCAAATAAGGGTGGGTTGTGGATAAAAACAGCGTACGTGTAGGACACGTGAATGGTCCAAAATTCTGTTGGCGACTACCTTCGTATTATCGGTCCATTGTGTAACAACAAAAACAGCGCCTAACTGTTCACACCTTAAAATTGATCACATTTTTTTTAATACATATATTTTCCAACTTACGTCAGATTAATTCCAACATACAGGATGTAAATTTGATTTGCATTAGTCGTCTTTCTGGAGAAAGTAATTTTGTATGTAATCAATTATAAGCTAACAGATAATTTTACCAAATATATTTCTACAATCAGCTAATGTTATTAACTAGTCAAATCCACTAATCCAATCAGCTAACAGCTATTTATCAAACACTCTCTTTACCAATTAGTTTAAATAATCAAAATTCTCAAATTAAAAATAAAAATTAAATGTGTATGTACGTAGTTTGTAATCGAAGAAATTCCTTTTTCTATTCTAAAGAAATGAATGTCTAGACAAAGGAAAGAGAAAATGCATTTCTTAGATTTGAAAACATAAAATTATAGACTTGAAGCTCAACATGTTGGAACTGAATTTGGCAAATTCTAAATAATCAATGACTAAACCAATATGGTCAATTTTGAACAAATCTTAATAGTGAAGGGACTACAAGTGAAATTAAATCTTTAAAATTACATTATTATTGATTTTTTTTAAAAACTCATTAAAAATTATGTGTTATATTAAAGTGATTCAAATTCCTACCAAGTGGCTTGTAGTCCACTGGTATTGGGTTGCTCTTCTAAGTGGGAGGTGTAAGGTTCAAATCTCAGTTGAGGTAATAGTGTGTATATGTAGGGTATCCCCCTTCCTTATTATATAAAAAAAAAAAAAAAAGTGATTCAAATTCCTTATTGTTTTTCTATTTGGATCAAAGTTCATTGATGAAAATGTTTAATTATGACCTTGTACATTGCTCTAATTATGGGAAACTCCGTATTAGCCGATGTTTGAAAGTACAATTTGAATGAAATTCGTAATATGATCATAGTTGAAAAATGATCAAATAAACAATATTAAACTTAAAATATTATGATTATTAAATTAACTATTCAATCAACTTGATTAGAATTTCCCACATTATAAATTACTAAATGACATAAGTATGTAACTCTAAATCAAAGGTCACAAATTCAATCCTAACTCTTTAAACGTATCAAAACATTTATTAATTTAATTGAACCATAATCGAGAAATGAAATTTAATAATCAATAAAATTTATTTTCAAGAAAAAAAAAAAGAATTATTGTGAACAATGAATATTACTCCGTATCTGCATGAACACAAAGACGTAAAAGCAACACGTAAACCCTAACATTTTTTTTTTTCCGAATTGACTGGCACGTTACGTTGGTGCCGGACTTAAAAGATCAAGATCAATCCGTACGTTAACGGCGTCAAAAATGAAGTCTGCTTATTATATATTTCTCCTCTGAAAACAACTTGAATTGAATACCGTCACATTTTACATATTGATGAAAGAAAATAGGCTAAGTTTGGCAGGTCTTGCCGCTGGCTGACTAGTCTAATCCACTGATTTTTAACCAAACTTTTTTATTTTTCTGTGCACCGCATAAATTCAACATGTCATTCTAAATTTGTCCAATACTTTTATTCCCCCAAAATTTCATAACACTGGTTGTGGTTGTCTAGGAAGATGAAAATAATCGATTTGACAATTTTTTTTTTTCCTTAGTGACCAACAATACAATTAACCTAATACGACTGGAAAATAAGTGTAAGTCGAAGGATGTGTCGTTTTAACTAATATATTATATGCCTAAGACGATTTCTCATGTGTGCGCGTTAATTATTTTTTTTTTATAAGTCACAAATAACACATGTACATATAGTCAACTTCAACTTTATCAAATATATTTGGTCTCAACTAAAATAATAAGGTGATAATTAAAATGCACATTTATGTTTTATATATTATATGCTTAACAAAGAGTAATACTATGTGCATCTCTTTCCCTACCTATATTACTGTATTGGGGTTTTTTTAATATTTGATTATTATATAAATTTTGTATTAACTCATGATGGAATCAATCGATTGACGAGTAATAGATGAAAATAGAAAATTATGTTTTTTAAAATTTATAGATAATACCACATTAGAGAATAAATTAATGATAACAATTTTAATAGGAAAAATTTTAATTTATTCTAAGTCTAATTGGGCTATACAAAATTATATTCCGCTTCTAATAGGAAGAAAGAATAAAAATTGGGCCGTTGGGCCCAAAGTTTACCTTACTGGTAGAATGGTATAGAAGGCAGGCAATTTATATCCTACACCCTGGCGCGCGTTGCACTATGCGCCCAGATGCAAAACGATGTTGTTTTAATTTTTTTTTTTTGAAATTTTCCGCCACAGTGAATGACAGTAGTTTTTTCTTTAAAAAAAAAAAAACCCGCTGTTCAAGAATGTACATAATGTTATACTAGAATACACATAATTGTATACATGAATATACATAATTATATAACAAAATATACATACTCTTTTTAAAAGATAATACACATAATCTAACATAATACATAATAAACATAAACTTTTAACATAATACACATCAACTCTTAACATAATAACACACAAATTTTCTTATTCGGATGTACATAATTGTATAAAAAGAATGTACATAATTGTATAAAAAATACACATAACTGTATGAACCAATACACATAACTGTATGAACAAATACACATAACTTTGTCAACAAATACACATAATCCCAGCAACTTCCTACCGCGCCTCTCAAAACGACGTCGTTTTGGGAGGCGCGCGACGCACAGTGCTATGTGCGTTGTGGTATAGGGTATAACGATTGTAGAAGGCAATTGATATCATGGATCAAAATTCACATAGTATTATAGATTATGAATCAAAACGATGAAATACAAAATTCATATTTATAAAGTATAAGATTTTATAACATAAGATACAAAAATTCATAATAAAAATTAAATACACATATTATATATACTTGTTTTTTAATATAATTTAGGGACATAATTCGTGTTCATATGAATAGAATTTCATAATAAAACACAAAAATTCATAACATAAAATACAATTATTAATTTATTTCGAATATAGAATTTATATCATAAAATATAAAATTTTATAATACAAGATACAAAAACTTACAACACAAGACACATATACATGCATTAACGTCCACACAATGCATTGTGAACCTTGGTCCGTGGTAAGGATCGGATAAAGAGTCAATGTCTAATGTATATGGCAAGTTATGCTGTAGAAATGTGCTCACATTGCAAGGTGAAAATTATTTCAAAATTGTCATAATTGTGAATATAGAGTTCAATAATTGTAAGAAAATTATAAACATAAAGTTAAGTAATTATGAATATAGAGTTCTGTAACTGTGATATAGAGTTTAATAATTATAAATATAAAATTTAAAAATTATAAAAATAAAATTTTATAATTATGAATATAGAATTTAAGTAATTACACCATAACAATTGAATATATATGGCTGCGTGATTTTAACACAATGCCGCACCCGACACGACACTTCTGATCTATCGGTGGCCCATCTGCTTCACAAACAAGTGAAACAACTTCCCAACTGTAAAAACACACACAAACACACTGTTCTGCGTGAGAGAGAAACCATAGCCAGATAACCACACACCTACCAGTAGTTCTCACCGCCCATTTTGGCTTCCGCCGCCGCACAATGGACAGAGAATCCTCTTCCGACGAAGAGGAGGATCACCGCACCCTAATCGTCCAGAACGAAAGGCGCGGCAACGGGAAGTCGCCGCTCCGGTCCACCTTCCAGATCAACGGCGGCTTCGAAAACCGGCCATTCAGCTGCCGCCGGTTCAATTTGAGCTCCGTGAAGAGATACGGCTACCTCATAGCTATCGTCCTTCCCCTCTTCTTTCTCATTCTCTACTTCGCCACCGACATTAAGGACGTCTTCCAAACTGGAGTCGCCAATATTAAAACCGACGCTTCGTTTAATCGCATGCGCGAGTCCGAGTTGCGGGCTCTGTATCTGCTCCAGCGGCAGCAGTTGGGGCTTTTGAAGCTGTGGAATCATACATTCGTAAATACTAATTCGAGTTCTTCTGAGGTTAATAACACTGTGAATTCTACTTATAGTAATTCGAATTTCAGTAGTTCTGTACCGAGATCATCTGTTTCTTCAGTATTATTGGAGGATTTCCAGGCTGATTTGCTAAGTCAGATTTCATTGAACAAGCAAATTCAACAAGTTCTCTTGTCGCCGCATAAGTCAGGGAACTTGTTGGATGCATCGGGTAATTTCACGGATCCGGATGTCAATGCTTTTGGCAGGTGTAGGAAGGTGGATCATAGGTTTTCCAATCGGAAAACCATTGAGTGGAAGCCAAGATCAAATAAGTACTTGTTTGCCATTTGTGTTTCGGGTCAAATGTCGAACCATTTAATCTGTTTGGAAAAACACATGTTTTTTGCTGCTTTACTTGGCCGCATTTTGGTTATACCAAGCTCAAAAGTTGACTATGAGTTTCACCGGGTTTTGGATATAGATCACATTAATAAGTGCTGTGGGAGAAAGGTGGTTGTCACTTATGATGAATTTGCAGGAATTCGGAAGAACCATGTGCATATAGATAAGTTCATGTGTTATTTCTCACAGCCACAGCCTTGTTTTATGGATGGTGAGAGAGTTAAGAAGTTGAAATCCTTAGGGGTTTCAATGAATAAGCTTGAGACTGCTTGGGACGAGGATGTTAAGAAGCCAATGCAAAGAACTACCCAAGACATAATTGCAAAGTTTTCTTCAGATGATGATGTTATTGCAATTGGCGATGTGTTCTTCGCTGATGTAGAAAAAGACCTGGTGATGCAGCCGGGTGGTCCCATTTCCCACAAATGCAAGACACTCATAGAGCCCAGCCGTCTTATTATGCTCACCGCCCAGCGATTTGTACAAACATTTTTGGGAAGGAACTTCATAGCACTTCATTTCCGACGACATGGTTTCTTAAAGTTTTGGTATACTTCTTCCCTGCTATCTGTCAATGTTAAATACTACACGCTTTATTCTGCTCTAATAATGTATTATTAGTTAACTCTTAATCTGTTATGCTTCAAAACATACTTTGCATTGTAAAGCCTGCAATAGTGCATCTAAACAACTGTAGTGGCTAGAATTCACATCACAGTCCATCCAATAATTTTAAGTCTGGATCTCTAATGGTGCTTATCGATTTTATCAGCAATGCCAAGGAGCCAAGTTGCTTCTACCCTGTTCCTCAAGCTGCAGATTGTATCAATCGAGTGGTTGAGAGGGCTAAGTCCCCAGTAATATATCTCTCAACAGATGCAGCAGAAAGTGAAACTGGTTTACTTCAGTCACTTGTTACCTTCAATGGAAAAACTGTACCGCTTGTGAAAAGGCCTGCTCGTAATTCAGCCGAGAAATGGGATGCATTGTTATACAGACATGGTCTCGAGGAAGACTCTCAGGTGAGCTTATGATTTACTATTTGACACAAGGTGATGCTTTAAAACAAGAGCTTTGGAAAACCATACATTTTATTTCGTAGAATTGTGGCATTTACTTGTATTGCATTCCAAATACTACATTGAGAAATGAACACCGAGGATACTGGTGTTTCACCTAATATTGGGAGCTGATAAACTTGTGTTCACATTTGGTTTTGTCGGAACTTTTTTTGGCTGATATTCTACGTTTCTTGCACTCAATCTGATACTGATGTGTAGTTGGCTGTGGCCTATTAGCACCAACCCTTTAGTCTCTTGAAGAGTGACTCACACCAAAAGTTTTGAACTAAAGTCTAGAACATGCTTGTGGAACTTTAAATTTCATCCAAGTTTTTCATCAGTACATAATTTTGTACTGAGATTCTGCTGGAAATTTGATCATTGGGTCATATCATGGGACAGTTCAGCATGGATACGCCATGTCTCATTCACTTAGAAGAGTAGTCGTGTCTCGTACAAATATTGTTTTCTCCTTGCCTTATATATTTATGTGTTTATTTTGTTGTTGAAGGTGGAAGCTATGCTGGACAAAACAATCTGTTCTTTGTCAACCGTGTTTATTGGATCCTCGGGATCCACCTTCACCGAAGACATCTTGCGGCTGCGCAAGGACTGGGGATCAGCATCAGTGTGCGATGAGTATCTCTGCCAGGGCGAAGCACCAAACTTGATTGCAGATACGGAGTGAGTTAATAATAGTTACAAATTGGTAGAACATTTTCTTGCAACCTCCGCGGGCATGGTGGAACCTGGAATTGCGACACTGCAGTGCTCAATATTTGTGGGAACGGAGGTAACAACAAAAGTCTAACTATGTTTGATGTGTGCACATACTCAATCTTTGCTTTTGATCTGTAATTAGTGTATGATATTAGCGAATCACAGTGGTGTTTTGTTGTATTCATTTATTCCCCTTAGGCATGTGTTAATAATACCCTTTCTTGGTGCCCAATATGTCTCTCATGTTCGGTGCGGAGGTTATTGTGAAACTGAGGAGGCATGTGGATGAAGAAGATGGCATTGGAATAACTGAAAGCATGCATATATGTAGCTTATATTGTGGCAATAAATTAATTTCTTTTTTCTCAACTGGCCACTGGCCACTGGCCAGTTCTTCCCGACAGAGCAAAACACGTAGAATTTCAACACAGAAAAGGCTCAATTAAAAGCTGATTTCTAGTCCCTACTGACCAAATCAGTGACATAAAATAGGGGATGTATGGAAGGCAATTCGACAATCCAATAAACAAGCTAGCTAGTTATATAAGACATCTTCAAACCAGCCTCAACAAAGTAGTGGGAAACTAAATCTAATTAATTACTTCTTAATTTTTAACTCGAATAGTCGAATATCACATTTAAAAAAAAAAAACTCAATTAATAGTAAACAGAACTGAGCTATAAGAATTTAACAGAACAACTAATCTTACGAGAAAAATATCAATTTTGGTTCCACGAGTATTAGTAAAATGACAGTTTTGGTCTACATGTTTAATCCCTACCAATTTTTATCCACAATTATTATTTTACTACCAATTTTCATCACGACTATTGTTTTAGTGCCAAAATTTATCACGTCAGTCACCCCTTCGTTTAAGACATACTGAAATATGAAATTATAAAGGGTATTTTCGTTTTTTTCAAATTAAGATTCCAATTTGACAATGAATAAATGAATTTAAACCCTAAGATCGATCTCAATTCGCATATAATCGATCTTAGGAATTAAATCTCTTTATTCATGTTCAAATTGAGATTTTAAGTTAAAAAGACGAAAATACCTTTGAAAATTTTATATTTCGGCATGTATTAAACGAATGTGACAAACGTGTTAAATTTTGACATTAAAACAATAATCGTGATAAAAATTAGTACTGAATTAATAATCATGAATAAAAATTAATAGGAATTAAACATATAAAACAAAACTGTCATTTTATTAATATTCGCTCACTAATCTACCATCAAGAACATACAATTTGGTTTTTACAGGCGCTTGGGTTGAGCATGGGAAATTGGGAACCCCTCCCTCAGTCCCTCGGGTTTAGACGGTTTAGCTGAACCGAACCGGTTGCACTTACAGAATTTGATGCCTCAACTGTCGCTGCAATCGCTTCGACGCGTTAGCATTTTCCTCGTCTCCTTCTGCACTGGTGTGTTTGTCCACCGGAAAATCTAGCGAGAAAGCGACACAGAATCGACAATGAGAGCTCGGCTAGTAGTGTTTCCGATCAAGGGGAGGAACTGGTGTTTCAGCCGATCGCTTGACCGCTCCGCATGCGAAGCTCAGTCTTCCAACATTCCGTCCACCTTCGTAGAGCTATGGAGCAGGATCTCCAAGCCCGCCAAGGACAAGCTCTCCTGGTATAATCTCGAGCTCCTCATCGATTTCGCTGCTAATAAGGTTTTTATACTCTCTCCGTCTCTTGCTCTTCACAATGTGTTATGCACTTTTACGTGTCTCCACAGCATATAACGCATGCATATAGTGTTGATGTTGTTGGTATTTCATTGGTTTTAGATGAGTAATCAGTGGTGCAATTTGGAAAAGGCTCCGGCTGGGAGTTTCAAGAGCAAAATCCATGGGTAAATTAACGATATATTAGCTTAATAGCTTGGCTTAGTTATTTTCCCTTCTGTAATTGATAAATGTGTAATTAATGATGCTAGGTTAGGGTTATGGATGCTGTCTGGTGTGAAGCCTTCTGAAATCTTCCTGAAATCCATTACAAAAGAGGTCAATAGAGTAGAAATCATTTATCCATCCAGGTGTGTTTCGCCTGCATTTGTTTTGAATGGTTGTTGTTTAAGTATATTCATAACAATTTATCCAAAACAAAGGAAAAAAGAACACTAATAGCTTGTGGCATCACTGGCTAATACTGTGGTCATGTATGCTAACAGTAAGTAATTTTCTAAATTGTGTTTGTGCCAAATGTGAATTTGAGAATGTTATGCTAGCATTCTGGATTTATTTATTTCAATTTGTGCCTCTTTTGAGTTGGACTGCTTCAATTTTCATCATAACAACTAACAAGTGCCTTGCTGTTGCCATTATCATTTCTACTTGGACTCTTTTTAAGCAGTGGTTCATGCTTCTCATCTATGATGTCTAACCACTGTGGTAGGATTTTCTGAATATTTAGTGATGTGTTATTATCCCCTTTTCCCCTAAAAATGGACTGTAATACGGTGATTTGGTAAGACAAATGCTATGAAAAAAAAGTAATTCTTAAATGGAACTCTGATCAACATGCATGCTATGTGTGCAGAAGCTTATAAATATAGACAGATTAGTTATATGATTCCATTTTCATCCCCATGGTTTATCATTTGGACTAATCACCTTTTTTTATTTTTTTATTTTTTTTATTTTTTTTTTTACAGTTTAAATGGTCTACTTGTTCGCCGAAGACTACGGCATATTGCCTTCAGGTAATTCTACTTGGTCTTGGTGCAGTGGTTGGGTGCTTATCCATTGACCGTTAGGTTGTGGGTATAAACTCTGGAAGTCTGGAAACAGCCACTCTAAAAACAGAGGGAGAGATCCTCGCATCTTCCCTCCCCAAAATCCACATTTACCTTAATTTTTGGGTCTAACATTTAGTATTATAGCATTTTTATTAGCACATACTTGTTTATGAATGCCATTATCTGGTATTGTTATTTTAAAATTCCTAAACGTGATTAGAATAACATTTTTGTTACTTGATCAGGGGAACAATTATTCACAAGAAGTACTTGTATGGATCAGCTTCATTGCTTCCATTGACAACAGTCTTCATGGTAATACTATAAAGACCTGTGCAGTATGTCAAATTTTCCTTTCAGCATATACACATACCTTTCTCCATTCACTCTTAATTCTTTCAAACATTTTCATGATTTATAGGTGTTACCTTTCCCTAATATCCCTTTCTTTTGGATATTGTTCCGGACATACTCCCACTGGAGAGCTCTGCAGGTGAGTGAATATTATTTAATATTATTGTCATGCTAAGATGCAAAACATACCTGGTGTTGGCAGTTTACAATGAAATTTGCCTCTTTAAAGTACCTTGTTATATAAAAAAAACACAGTTGTCTTATGATAATAAATTATGATTGTTCTGTTCCTTTATGTCGAAGTTATTATATACTCTGTATCTCAATTCAAAGTTAATTCTGCCTGTTACAATGATGCTTAGGATGCCTTTTTCTTTCCTAGATGTCTGAGCTGCTGTAGGCTCTCTAATTATCATTTTTTGTGTCTTGCTTCTATATCAGGGCAGTGAGAAACTTCTCCGGTTAACGTCAAACTTCCCAAATAATCAAAACTCAAAAGAAAACACAATACACACAAATAGAAGTACAGAAGGAAAATATCACAACCACCAGGGTCGTATGTGGGTAAGAATTTCAAACATTTGATTTCTCAAGCCCATAGTTTTACTAATTCTTGTGTGCAACCTGTTTGTCTTTTCTAGTTTTAGGGACTTAAGCTGAGACAAGATCTGCTTGAGTAGTAATATCTTGAGATAATTTTATTAACTTTAATCAACACCCTGATGGGAGCAAAGCACAAATGTAAATGAACATGAAGCAACATCCAGGGCAGTAACTGCACTTCAAGATCTTAAAGTTTTTGTGTTATTAGATTACTAGATTAGACATATATGACTACAAATTTCTAATATTACCAAATGCTTTTCCTTGATGTTTGTGCTCATTCCTTCCTAGCGCTACTGTTATTTTTTTTTGGTAATTACAAAATGAATGGCTGATGAACATTATTATGGATGGTATTGGCAGGTATTATTCCCATCAGACGAACTCCAAAAACTTCTTCACCTTGGATATGCAACTGATGGTGTGAGTGAGAGCACTATGGATGCTATATGCCAGAGATATAGTTTAAACAAAATGGATGTTAATAAGTACCGTCATTCATTTTAGTTAGAAAATTTCTACCTTGGGCACTGTACATTTTGTATCGATTTCATAAGCTCCTTTTTGTGTTCTTTTGCAAATTTGTTTGGCAAAAGTGAAGGGCAATAATTTTTAGTATCAGGCAAGATGTATCCTGCTACCAACACCCACGCACACATGTGCTTCTTTGGTTTTGTACTATTTTGTTAAATAAATGATGCGCCAAATGGCCAAATGGAGGAAGGGGAGGATTTTTATTTATTTATTCTTGGATTTATTTTCTTTTTCGGTTCTTATTTGGTTAATGACTATTAGATTTTATCTGATTGGGTGATTTAAGACATTATTTAAATGCCTGGCAACACCGTTGACTTGGTAACCACAAGAAGGTTACAAGTTTGACTCTTGGCTGGAGAGCCTATTAATTTTTTTAGTTTGAGCTGGTCAGCTATGTGCAACTTAAACTGGTTCACCTTATTTTGGTCCTAAAGTTACAAGGTGGAATTTGCCCAGTGTACAACTTCTGGTAGTGGCTGTGGATTTTTCCGGATCATCCAAAAAAAGACACTCATGCCTATTGCTTCTTTACTTTGTATATATGCAGTGTTGATTGTAGAACATATAAAATCATGGTTCCTTTGCCCCCCAAAATGAATCATAATGTGAGGATGATGATAGTCGAGGAAAGGCCAGACGTGACATTCGACGACATTGGTGGGTGTAGAGAGCAAATCAAAACACTGCAAGAGGTTGTTGAGGTGCCTATGCTGTACCCAGAGAAGTTTGCGAGGTTGGGAAAACCCGTAACTACTACTCGATAGTGTGCACATGATAAATTAGCCGGCAAGGAACCACAATGATATAAACCAACTTGTGGCAAACCAGCCTAAGTTACTTATACTTCACTAGTTCAAATCAAGAAGGTCAATAAGTTACTCTCACTAAACCAGACTAACTTGACTGTGGTTGCCTCGTGGGTGTACTCTATGCTTTATAAAGTTGTACTCTCTCCTATGTACTTCTGTCAAAACACAAAATACAACTTTGCAAAAACATGTTTTTGTTCAATTTTCATAAACAATGAAACCCTTTTATGGGAAGGTCCTGTTTTATAATGTATGAGCTGAAGAAGCAAAACCATGTCTGCAGAGCTTGAGATAAATTAATGAATGAACACTATCAACACATTACAGAATATTATACACTAATGGCATTATACAATACAGCAAAGGAAGCAAATATGCACCTTAACTTTAGTCACAAGGGGGAAGCATCATCAACCTTCATGAGAATGAGAATCCTAAGGCCCGTAATTAATCTTTAGCGTCTGCGTTGTCGCCCTGATCATTGCCGAATGTTCTCTTGCTCATGTTTGCTCGTTGCACAAGCCGAACCAATGCCTCCACAACTTCAGACATTGGCGGTCTGAACTCGGGCTCCAGCTGCCACAATATTATAGACAGATAGCCATGAAGATACAGTAAATATAATTGAAGCATTAATGGTTATATGCTCAACACACCCCCTCACGTGTGTGCGAGCCGATTACTTTTTTGGGCTCAAGCAACACGTGGACCTTTGGTCTGGCTCTGATACCAAATTGAATCATGTTCCATCTCAACTAAAAGCCTAAGCTGATAGTTGGATTGCACATTAATGGTTATATGCTCAACAAATATCATCTTATGTTTCAAGCAGGTAGCAGTTATGTGTATTCAACGAATAATATTACCTGGACACAGAGAGCAATTACATCAGCGAAACGAGAGAGGGATTTAACTGGATAAAGTCCGTTCAGTGCTGGATCTACCATCTTAGACAGAGCATCAATGTCGTGGAGCTGAGGTGTAGCCCACCGAACTAAAGATTGCTCAGATCTTGGCCTTGAACTACAATTCCAGACAAAAAACGATATATCATTAGAAAAGCCTGTTTCTCTAGATTTTTTTTTTTTTTTTTTTTTATAAAAAAAATCAGACGAAACTATTGCTTCTTAGGTAACTTTACCTATCGAATGGTTTTCTTCCAGTAAGAAGTTCCAACATGGCAACTCCGAAACTATATACATCACTCTTTATAGTATGCTGACCAGACATGGCAACCTCGGGTGCACCATATCCCGAGCCAGAATTATGGTTCAAAGCCTGCAGAAGAAGCGAGTAATGTAGCCCTCCTCAAAGTTTATTAAACCCGAGAATCTTATTGATTTAGTGTTCACAAAATAGTGAAAATACACATTGGTTAAAAACTTCAAATTAAGGCAAAACCAAAAGCGTGCAGCAAGTTTACCTGATCTCCAGCTGGGATAAGGCTTGCTAATCCAGCGTGCGATAGATGAGGGTTGAGCTCCGAATCGAGTAAAATGTTAGCAGATTTTAAGGTTTTATGAACCACCGATGGTGAGCAAACTTCGTGTAGATACCTGCAGAGAATGTTTTTTCTTCAAGTATTTATGGAAATTTACGAACAGCACCCGAAGGCTATAAATGCTATCGAAACTTACTCCAATGCTCGAGCTGTCCCCAAAGCAATCTTGACCCTGCTGTTCCAAGTTAGGGGGTTGTTGTACTCATCAGAGAGGTGCAAAAGATCGTGCAAAGAACCGTTTTTGTGGAATTCATAAACCAGCAAATGTTGTCGGTACTCTGAACAATATCCAACCAACTCAACAACGTTTGGATGCTGCAGCCTCGATATTTCAGAAACTATACCCAGAAAATCTTCAGGGTCCCGCAGAGCAGAAGAACTAATTTTCTTTACAGCAAGAACCTACAGCATAATCGTCAAAGATTCGTTTTTTAAGAGAGCAGATGGAAAACCGAATTATTCTTGCACAAATTAGTTAAATTAGAGAAAATTATTACCTTCCCGTCTTCAAATTGAGCCCGGTAGACACGTCCAAATGATCCCTCGCCAAGACGATTCTCGACACTGAAGCTATCTGTAGCCATCTGTAGGTCTGCAATAGAATACCGAGTGGCCTTTATTTGAGCTATATTGACTTTCTTGGCGGGAACAATCGGTTCTTCATTAATCGTTTTATGATAATCGACAGGCGGGGGTCTTAGATTTACTGCAGTTAGAGTGTCCACGGTTTTCATTGCTATGGTGGGCGTCCTCGGGGACGTTTCAATAGACTTCATCTCTGCAGGCAAAAAAAAAAGAAGTCAAAACGAAGAGAATTCAGGTTTTAACTAACAAGATTAGTCTTAAATCTTAATTCAAACTTCAAACCTTGTAATTCCTGCATAGCAAGGGGAGCAAACGGGTGGTTATTGACCTTCTCTATATCCGATATTGTCCTTCTCGGTTTTCTCTTGACGACGAAAAATGCCACTATTGCTCCGATAATTAAAACGGAAATTACAATCCCGGCAACCGCTCCTCCCCCTATCCCAGATTTTCCACTTCCACCATCACTGCCACCGCCATTCGAGTGGCGGTTACCGCCTCCTGATTTGTGATTATTCCTGTTGGGCTTGCTTGCGGGTGGTGTACCGGGTGGAGGTGGGGGCGCAGGCCCCGAGCTCCATGAATTACCGTTCGTTCTGTTACAGGAATTAAGAACAAGACATTACTAAAAAAAAACCCGAAATGACAACTACAATGATAAAACTTAATGCAGTCCGAGACACTCACTGTATGCTGTTTATGCCTTTCAACTGCCGAGGAATCCAGCCAGTAAATCGGTTGTTCTCAACGTTTCTAAAAGCGAAAATTACAAGTTAGTAATAGTTTTGATCACGGGTATTGAAATATATGAATAAACTCACAGATTATCGAGGGGAAGATTCGCAAGGGCATTAATAGTTCCAGTAAACTGGTTGTTCTGCAAAAACCTACACAATGAAATCGGGTAAACTAACATCTTGAAGGGAATATGGAAAATACTAACCAAAAACGAACATCGATATAGCCTTCTTACATTTTGCTCATACTTGAAAGCGAGGTGAAAGACTGAGGAAGATTACCCGCCAGAGAATTAAAAGAAAAATCCCTGAAACATACCCAAGAACAAGTGAAAAAACTCTTTAGTCCCGTAATTCCAGTTCATAGTAGAATGAAACTAAAATTATTTCAAGAAAATTTTAGGGTTCTGGAGAAGGTCGATCTTACAATGTGGAGAGGGAAGAGAGCGATCCAAACATGTCATTCACCTGGCCCTGAAACTGATTGTGACTCACATTTCTACAGTTCAAAGAAGCATATAAGTAACGAAAGACCAGCTCGAAATGAAACCAAATATCATTGATTGCGAATAAAATGTTTCGACTTACAAGTATTGCAGAGAAGTCATTTGTGAAATGGAATAAGGGAGGCCACCACTAAAGCCATTCCCAGCAAGGTTTCTGCGTTATAAAAGCATCATTGATCATCGAAATACAAATCGATCAACGAGAAGTATGATAATATAGGAGGAGGCAAGGCTTACAGTCTCTTCACATTCTGAGGGAGCTGATAAGGTAACTGGTTCCCGAGATTGTTATTGCTTATATCACTGCAATATACCAAGGAATCATGATTTCTAGAGCACTAAGAAACTAACATTTCACGTAAAGCCAATTGTCTTACAAGGTGGTTACGGATTTCAGTTGATCCAATTGGAATCCCATTGATCCACCCAGTCCCAAACTCGAAAGCTTGCTGGAAAGTAAATTCAATTCACAGCTAAATATTAGAATCAATAACTAACTAAAACATATGGAAAGGAGGACAATAGAGAATCACATTTCGGTTACTCTATTCCCCGAGCAAGTGACTCCCTTCCAGGACTCTCCACAAGGATCACCGCCACTCGAGCTCCATTTCGTCAGCTGTGACGGTGAATTTAGGCTACTAAACATTGCCCTCAGAACCAAGGCTGGCAATTCAACAACACAATTAAGTAGCAATGTTATAATCCACAGGCCAAACAATTACGCTACGGTGTTCGAAAATGCACAAATGTTTTCCAAGATTCAAGAAACACAAATTCTGGAGAAAAAAAACACACATTTTATCATCAGTAATTACCACCATCTATTGCACATACTAGCAACCAGAATTGAAGCATGTGCTCTATCTCAACTAAAAGACTAAACTGATACTAGCAACCAGAATTAAAACATGTGCTCTATCTCAACTAAAAGACTAAACTGATAGTTGGAACGCATATTTATGTTTATATATTATGTATCCTTTTGATTCTAACCCTTGTGAAAATGGAAGCTTTTCATCTATGCCAGTCTAAAAAACTCTTGAACACTACAAATGCAAAACTCTCACATTCCAAGAAATCCTCAACACATCAACTAAGAACTAACCATCATTTGGATCTGTATCAGCATTAGCTAAGACCGGACCATTCAACAAGAGAAGCACCACCGCCACCGCCACCGCCGCCGCCATTGCCGCCACCTCCCTCATTTCCTTCTCTCTCTCTCTCTCTATCTCTACCTAGCAGAGAGAACCCAAACCCAGCTCCCAACTCGGGAACAAATACCAAAAACTTCCTTTCCTCCTAATAATACTGTACTAAATCAAGAAAATATAGCTGAAATTATGTTAATGATATTAACAATAATATTTTTTTTAGTCAAACAGGGGGGGTTGTTAATCATAACCATACTTCATGTGTACCCATAACCCATTCCAACTAAAGCTGGCAGCCACGATCTACTGGCGCCTTCAACAACCAAAACCCACCAAAATTTTTTCCACAAAAACCAAAATTCTCTTCTCCACAAAGCAAAATTTTTCTCCTTCAATCCCCTATTATTTCTTTATTATTATTCGCATTTTCCCAACAAGATAATATACATTCCACCGAGTCCCTTATCATTATTATATACCAAAAAGATTACACAGTGAACAACATAGACGGTGGCGGGTTAAATATTATATGAGTGTAGTAAAGCGGTAAACGGTAAAGCCATGTTTTTGGTTGAAGCCAAAAAGGAGGCATTGCTTTGGACAAAGGCTGCCTAAATTTAATTCCCTTTTCGGACAGAATGGGAAATAAAATATAACCACAGAGAAAAGGAAATAGTGAAAGGGTACGTATTGCTTTCATGGTCGTACACATATGATTGCATTCCAAAACTCTCCTTCTACTACTTGTACTGTAACGTTAATTCTCACCATATTTTTGGTATGTTAAGTTTACGAATTTAGAATAAATTAATCTTAGTTCAAGAGTGCTGGAGGAGATAAATCACGAGTTACTCATTATTTTTTTTTTTATATTTGAGTCCGATCACACTTATATAGTAAATTAACAGTAGGGCCCTAGGGGGCGTGTTCGTCCACAAAATTAGATAATATTGAGGCTTAGCCTCTCTTCCTTCACAAAATAATAATAATAAATTAACGAACTCAATCCAGAAGTTGTTAGTAAGAATAACAAACTCATCTTACATTAATTCTTACTAATAACTTCCCGATTGAGTTTGTTAATTTACTATACCTGTGTGATTTTTAAACTATTAACCTATTACACAAAAATAATACACAATATTAAATAATAGTTACAATTTTTCTCAATCACTCAACAAAATTTACTAAAAAAATTGAGTGCACCAAAAAAAGATGCTCAATTTAACTTTGTTATTTTCCTTTTCTTTTTGTCTTTAATGGTCAAACAAAAAGTTGGTACATAGAAAATTTGAGACGTTAAGTGTACATTTCCGAAAAAGTCAAAATTTTCGGTGAGTACAGAAATCGACTCACTATGTCCCAATCTAACTCTCCAATTATTTCAGACTCATTCCTTTACTTCAACTAAACTTATATTAAAAAAATAATAAAAAAAACATTAAAAATTATATTTAAGCGATAAATTGCCCTCTAAGATTGGGCCTTTGCATTGTTGAAGAAATGAAAATTTAAAATGACCAGTTTAGCTTCAACAGAAAAAAAAAAAAAAAAAATGGGGCATAAAAAAAGGAGAACATCATATCAGTAGTAGGTATATATGATGTCTTGAAGAAATGGTCTCTTACATCCCAAACAAAAGAAAACAAGAAAAGAATTATATATATCATATATGGTGTTGTTCGAATGAGAACCCCTACGAACCTGTACATAAATGTACACAAACATCTACATAAATGCACAAAATCTCATATTTCAGTGCATAATGCACACAATTTACACTAAAATAGTTTGTGTGTAGTTGTATAGACGCTTGTGTGCATTTACATTGGTTCACAGGTTCTCACGGGAGGAGGGGTTCTCATATGTTTAATGAGAACTAGATAGTAGTCATGCGAGAATGTGTGAATTAATATCATTCGTCCATCTAAGATGTTCAATGACTGAGAATTAAGGAAAAAACGTGGTGACATTCCGTAAGTACAATGGTATATTTGGAAACGTGATAATACATTAACAGATAACTAATAGTGCACACATGTAACTACGTAAGTGCAATATTATAGATCATGTGTGTATTGTCAATTATCCGTGTATACACTATCAAACATTTTCAAACGTATCATAATAATTACACAATTATCACAACATGTTTACTTAATTTTTAACATTTAGTCATCGTAAATGGACGTATCTCATATATACATATATATCATATATTAGTAATGTTACACACCATTCATAAACTTTTCTCTCATAATGTGAGAGTATCGAATTGATTATTATAGTATTTAATTAAAAATATGTAGAGTTAGTCAATTCATAACACTTAATAATCATAAGAGAAAAAAATTTGGAAGGCAATATAACATTTCCCTATATACAGGGGGTGTGACAGTGGAGGTCATTGTCGTTATTGTATGAGAGTAAGAATCCTAATCCTTTTGCCCCATAACTATCATCACTTATAGAGACAATTCATGATTACATATCATAATTTATTTATTTCCCCCACCAACCTTAACGCGCATTAAGAAAAGGTTGTACAACTAACGGGATATATATATCATTTAGACAAACCAAATATCGCATGATTAAATAAATATTTTATAACAAAAACAATGAAATTATAAGAATGAAAAAAACAATTTTTTTTTTAAGTCATCTTTACCATTTACTACTTTTCCATCAATTAAATTATTAAGAAAAATAATTGTAAATATATAAATATATTTGCTGAGAATATTTTTGTTGAAAAAATTAATTAATATGTTTAGTGTTACACTCTTACCATAGAATCATAACAATTAAATTATCGTTAAAGTTATTTCAAACATTTTCAAAAAAAAAAATCTTTAATATACCCTTATACCCCATATAAACATAAATAAAATACCAACTTGTATCATTAACACAAAATAATGAAACAAACAACCTCTTTTATATATATATATATATATATATATATATATATATATATATATATACACTACAATTAGAAGAAGACATTTTTTTTTTTGTGCAGTTTGTATATATAATATAAAATATATACTACGTATTATATATGCATACTGCAATTAGAATAATACATTCGGCAACAAAATATGCACAAAAGAAATTTTGTACTTTTTTTTATGAGTTACAACATTCAATTGTGAGTTAAGATCTTATCTTTAATGGTGAAGTGTTGTCATTCTTAAGATAAGTAGGAGAAAGCATGACCAAAGAGACAAATACAATATATTTATATGAAAGTTTAAAAAAAAAACATAACACTAAAAATGATAAATATATAATTGAATAAGTTGTATACTTTTTCACTTATCTTTAATAATAATAATAATAATAATAATAATAATAATAATAATAATAAGAGCATACCCTCATAAGTTGGATTTTTTTTTTTTTGAAAGTTACTGGCTCTATTACATTGTAATATCGGTTCATATACTTTCTCAACCTACTGAAACACAAAGAACCAATAACACCTCCACTGAGGCTCGAACTCATAAGTTGGATTTATTTATCTTAATTTTAAAGAATTAAACCCAAACCTTAGATCTCCCACATAGGGGAACAACCGGATACCAATGGACTACAAGATCCTTAGTTTAAGTCAAAAACTTTATCAAATATAAGAATACTTTTTCACTTTTAAATTCAGAAAAAAAAAATAAAAATTATCAAACCAACTCTTAAACCCGATGCCCATAGTCTTTTCCATTCATAGTTAGAGATTTGGAATTTTGGAAGATAGCTGAACCAAAGTAGGGTGTCTTTGGTTCGCACATAGGAATCGGAATCGGAATGGGTATCAAATACTTGGTAATGGTAATGGATTTTGGTGAAAGTATTTAACATGTTTGGTAGTAGGGTGGAATGAGAATAGTTACTAATAGTAGTGCTTGAAAATAAATAAGGGAATGAAACCCTTATTGTATTTGGGTATGGGTTTTTCAATTGATAGGGTATTCGAAACCCATAGTAGTGTTCTAAAAACCTATCAACCAAACAACAACAATCACTTTCATACCCATTCCTATGGACAAAACCCACCAACCAAACACACCCGTAGTTTTCCATTTAGTGGTTATACTTATAAACTATGATTCACATGGTATTGTACATTACTAATATACAAATTTATTTTTAATATATTGAATACTCATTTTTAATATACTAACTAAAAATTTATTTTTAATATTCTACAAATTTATATTTCATATATTACCTAAAAATATACTTTCACAATATATTAAAAATAAACATCTATTAACAATCCACCATATATTAAAAATAAACATCTATTAACAATCCACCTTACAATGTGAACCATAGTCCACAAGCCACAATATAATTTGCACAAAGGGATTGAAATATGAAGGAAAAAAGTTGGAAAATAAAAGATTAAGAAAAGAATAGTAAAAAATAATAATTAAATTCAAATAAGTTGAATATAGAAGTAAATATTTTATGTAACATACAATAACTTTGTGGTTTAGTGGTATGAAAGGACTCTCTAAAATGGGAGTTCATGGTTCGAGCCCTATTGAGGGTGGTATTGACTCCTGTAACATACAATATGGTTTTTGGGCCTGTGACCACTGGCTAGGGCTGAGTAAATGTCAGCCAAGGTCCTCCGAGTTTTGTGGTTTCGCTACCTTTAGTCAATTGGTGGCGAAACCACAAAACTCGGAGGACCTTAGTTGGTATTTATTTACTCTATATCTTAAACACAAATGTGGTCTTATCATTTAATCGGAAAACCCAATCTGGTGTGTCAGTTGTAGCCAAATATACCGCATCAGTTTCACTCAATAATGATGTCTTCCTCAATAAAGATTCTTTGTTTCCCCTCTTACACCTTTCACTTTCATTTTTGGTTGGACTGTCACAAACAATTACCAGTCATGACTATTACAACATTAACAGGTGACATTCACCAAAGCTATGCTCAAACTTGCCTCACCTGATATTAACTGCACCATCTTTCTCGTGTGTCATTTGTCGATCCAGTCTTTGAACAGCAGCATCATGTATAGCGGGACATTAAAGGCAGCAATTATAAAGATTGTACGAAATACCCTCAATAGTTGCCTGATCACCAACTTCATCTTTGATTTGTTTGCCCGAGATGGTAATTTCACCGCATCTGCAGGCATTGTGATATCTATCTCTACATTTTGTTTTCTGGCAGCTGAACGCATGACAGCATTACCTCTGAATGGTGGAAAAAGAAAGTAATAAACATGTTTGAACTAGAGAAAACAAAAATGCCATATCTACTTTGTAAAGGAAATGCCCCCAAAAGATTTACAAGCTAAGGAAGGCAATAAGACCAAAATACTGAACTCAACATCGTATCTATATGCTCATAACATTATAAAGATTCAAGAATGTAGTATAGGATTAACCATGTATGAAGATCTGCCTGAATATATCAAAGGAGTAGACAAGTACCAAGTAAAATTTTGTATAATAACCCAAGACCGTTGAATAATAATATGAATACTTAATGTGACAACCGTAATTACCAAAGCTAACTAACTTAAATAATGTCGCTTTGATGTCAATTGCATGAATGAAATAACAGCATAGACATTCAGAAATTGTAACCTACCTTTCCGAGGAAGACTCACTAGAGTATGTAGGACGAGCCTTAGAGGTTTTCCTTATGAGGTGCATTGTCCCTTCAGCATCCCAAACCTCCTCATACTCACATATTTCATCATCATTTTTCTCCTTAACCCCACCCCCAAACATGCTCAAACTAATTAGACTTCTCGTGTATTCACTAAGGTGGTGCAAGAAAGGCAACCCATATGTTGGCCAGAAGAGGACAATAAGAACAGTCATGATCAACAGCAGAAGATACCTGTAAAATTCACAAGTTCAGTGTATAACCACTTTTAGTGTAAACCACATCTTCTGTCAACATATACATTACCATATATAAATGAACGTTTGAACAGGAAGAAAGCAGAGTGTAGTGGAGATTGCATCTGCTGGTTTAGATCCATCTGACGAGGTAAGGTTACTAACAGATAACAACATAAAAGAGGGAAACAAATTTCCCTGCTGCCAGCTTATGGTCCCTAGAGTATGCTGCAGAAAGTTATTTATCAAACATCATCATGTTGATAAAAAATTTCAATGACACAAATCAGTAAGAAGTACTACCTCTTTTACAGCACCATACTTCGTTGTGTGAACCACTGTACATTGATCATGATCATGCCCAGAAAGGATCAATGCCTGCAGAAACTCAAATTAGTGTACCAAGAAATGGATTCTCACTACCACATCATGAGGTTTCTGTATATTCATTTTTCTGTTTCATGGCATATATCATATGCAGAAGAATGAGAAGGTAATATACATACAGGTTTGATCAACTCCAGTAAGTAATTTGTCTGTTCTTCAGTTACATAGTTTTGGTACCTAGGACAGAAATTGTAACCAAAAAAACATGTTTAATTTTCAATACTAGAGTTCACAAATCAGGGAGCACATATAAAAGTATAGTCCTTAGAAAAGAAACTCACACTATCTCTTCATCATGCTCAGCACGGTTAATCCTCTGAAATGGACAGAGAAAACTATATGCATTCAAACATTATAGAAAACCATAGTAAGAATATTACCACAGCCACAATCAAGAGAGAAGATCTTAAAATACCTGATTAATAATTGATGATGAACGATGAGGACCACATGAAGTATCATCTGGTCTATACAGTGGGATATGAGTCAATAGAACACTGGGACTTGAAGTAATATCTACAGAGGCAGAGAGAAATTAGGGGTCAGTATCTATTTCAAAATGTAACATTAAAATTTAAATAAACAATATGTGAATTCCCATACTCTTGGAGACATCTTCAATAAATTTCCATGTGGCAGCACTCTCGTTTCCTTGGGGATGCCCTGTAGAAATAATGTTTTGCCATCAGCATCTTCATAGTAGTAACTATGGTCCAACAAATAAAAAAGAAAAACACTTAAACACCTACAATGACAAATTGTTGAGGGATGAGACAATTAACAAGTGAGTGTTGAGCAAAGCAATAACAAATTAGGCACATTTTAAGTTTCATAGATGTGTGGGAGTTTTACATGGTCCCCTAGGTGACTGCAAATACATTTTATTATGGAGAAAAATTATAATATGCTTGCTTGCTGGCCAACCTATGTCGCCTGCAATACGTGAGTTCTCAAACCAATGCCAATCACTCATCATTAGAAACGTATCTAAAGATTAAGAAAGTTACCGTCCAATGTTTGTGCATCAACAGCAATAAAGTTCACTTTTCCAACTTTAAAGTGGTAGTTCCTCACACCAAATACTTTCTCATAACGGCTGATAACCTGAATGCATATATAAATCAATAAATTAATAAATTTTATGTGTACATGTATATATGGATGCAAATATAAGAAACTGTTGAATGACAGAAAGTGTAACTACCTACTACCCATTTGAAGAATGCGTTTAAAAAATAAAAATCAGCCAAACAATTGAACTAATACGAGTAAAATCACTTTGCTTTAACAAAAATTATTGCAACCAGGGTATTGCACAATGCAGATAACTATGCTTAGATATATTTACCAGAAAGCATCAAAATGCTGCTTTGATAATATGGTAATATGGTAATTGACTCACGTAAGTGAAAAATTATGTATTACAAATAATGCACAAGTACAATGGCTTAAGTATGATATGTGAAAAAACAGAAAAATAAGACACTAAGAACTTAACAAGATCTGTCTCTCTTGATAAGTAAGAAGTTAAATAACTTGTACAGAAAATGCTTCAGAAATTGAAATATTAAAACAATTAAATTTTGGAGAGTGCCTACTCTTGACAGACCTCTGGCATTTGGGGGTGGAAAGCTGAGTAGCCAATATCATGGTTTCCTGAGAGGTAGAACAGTTTTATATTTTTAGTTTGCTGAACCATATCCAGGTTAAAAATATGCTTGAATCGGCTCCAGGATTCCTGCCATCTGTTGAACTAAATGAATGATGTACATATACTGGTGGATGACGAAAAATTTAGAATCACACTGAACACAAAGTAAAGGAGGTGTTTGTTTGTGTGTGTGTTTTTTTTTTTTTTTTTGGGGGGGGGGGGGGGGGGGGGGGGGGGGGTGTAAGAATTAGTTGGAAAAAGATATCAACTTCAAAACTTTAAACATAGGTCAATGGATGTCACATTTGTAAATCCTGAGCATAGTTAGAGGAAGCATCATGTTTTTTCCACTCTTTTCTTAACTGTTTCCCATCTTTAAAGTGTGAATGTATCATGCTTTCAATAACTGGAAGTGATTGAAACATAATATCAATGTTCATTGCAAAAGATCACTTCAACTATCAGAGACAATTATCAAGACTCACTCTTCATCAGACAGGAAAGGTCCACCATCAAAATAATCACCCAGGAACAAAATGATGTCTGGTCTGAAGGGTAAAACAGATGATAGGAATGCCCTGCGCATAAACAAATCTGTGTAGAATTGAGCCATCTCTAGAGCCAGGGATTTTGGAGCAAGATTGAGGGAGGTTTTATCCATAAGCTGTTAAAAGTTTAACATGCAATCATGAATATGAAATAAGAATGATTTCCAAAAGATCAACCGATGATATATTATATTTGCATATAGGAAATGTATGATTTAATTCTGGAAGGAGTACCTGAGGATCGGTAAGGACTGCAATTTTTACATAATCACCAGGATTATCTACTTTGTCCATCTAAAGTTGGAAAAGAGATGTTAGAAAGCACCTATACCTTAGAATTCACACAATCAAATAAGTGCACAATAATGTTAACCTTTATGAACAAGTAGTGAGAACCATATTACTAAGCAAATAACATGCATATAAGAAAGCATTTAAATGCCCTTATATTCCAAAATCTGCTTCCTAAAAGTAAATCATTCACATAGATTCTAAAGCCCCAGCTCCCATCCACATAAATCAATCAGACAATTAGTTTCTCAAGTACATCCAAGTTAGAATACAAGGTAATAGATAAATAGAGGTGGCATTGGTGTCAAGGTACTGCTGTCACTAGTAATAAAAATGGGATTGGATTGTTAGGGTTTCCAAAAGCAAAATTTCATTTACAGTGCAAATGAAGAGGTCATTGACAGCGCAGCACAATCTTAGTATTGCAGTTAGTTAACGGTGTAACACGAACAATAATCCTCATGAAAGGATGCTATGGCATTTCCTTTGTTCTTTTTCCCTTCATCTAGGTCTATTCCAGGCCGGTGAATATGAATCAGTGAATCTCAACCTAATAGCACTTGTAGTTACCCAGCCAAGATCAGAGAACCGTGAACAAGGTCACAAAAATGTCCATTTTAACAAGAGAAAATCGCAGCTCTTAAGCTCAGAGAGCCTAATGGACTATCAATAATCCTAAATCAAGCTCAATTTGCAGTTACGATGAAAACTCAAAAATCAAAAACCTAGGTTGACTAACTTTTAGCATTTTAGTCGATGTAACTATGTAAGATCCCCCAGTACATAATTTTGAAGTGTAAAAAGTTGAAGCATCTACTACAACAAAAAGGATTGAAATTCCGAATTAACTGAATGATTTTCTTACAGATGAAGGAGGAGGAGGCCAAGAGCACGTCCACAGAGAGGGAATCCAGAAAGCAAACATCTCGCCATAGAGAAGGCTGAGAGCCCACACTAAGGTTAGAAAAATGGTCAGCTTCCACATTGTAGTGTGCCTCCAAGGTTATACCTTTTCAGGCCTCCATTTTCTCCCCCCTCGGAGCTCCGAGAAAAACAGTAGTAATTAGATTCCGGCTAAGGCTGACTTCTAGAGCTTCGCAGGCGACTACTTCCGACTGTTGACTTCTCTTTCTGGGAGAATAAATGGGGCAGATGGTAATTGGTTAATACTAAATAGGGTGTTAATTTGGGTAAGTACAACTTATATATTGAGAAAAGGAGTTTTTTGCATTTTAGTCCCACGACTATAGTGGCACTGGCAGAATTGATCCACGACTTTTGAACCTTGCAATTTTAGTCCACGACTATTGATTTTTTTGCAAAAATGGTCCTTCCGGCCACTTTTCCGTCAAAATTTCACCGGAAAAAAAAATTCTCAATTTTTAGCCGGGTTAAAATTGACATTTTACTTATCTAAAAAAATTAAAAGAAAAAATTGATATTTGACTACATACAATATTACTGGGCTACATACTACTACCCCAGGCGGCGGAGTACATGTACCACTCCAATGTTGCTGTCGGATAACCCAACTAGCCCGGGGAACGCCACGGCCGCTCCGCCGCTTACTGACAGCCCTGCCTGCTCCAGGAACGTAACTCCGCCGCCTGGGGCAGTAGTATGTAGCTTAGTAATAATTGTATGTAGTCAAATATCAAATTTTTTCTTTTAATTTTTTGAGATAAGTAAAATGTCAATTTTAACCCGGCTAAAAATAGAGAATTTTTTTTTTCCGGTGAAATTTTGACGGAAAAGTGGCCGGAATGACCATTTTTGCAAAAAAATCAATAGTCGTGAACTAAAATTGCAAGGTTCAAAAGTCGTGGATCAATTCTGCCAGTGCCACTATAGTCGTGGGACTAAAAGTGCAAAAAACTCTTGAGAAAAGTGGTCCAATTTGCCAAATTGGTGACTTTAAGAGCAATTTTCTTTTCATTACAAATCTCCATGGACCAAAATCGGATGACATTTCTACAGCCATTTGGTTAAAACATTCCAATCGAAATATTAATTAGAATCAAATTCTTAGTAATTGTTTTCAAAAAAAAAAAATTTCTTAGTAATTATATTTAAGGGGGTGTATTTAATCATTACTTTTGTAGAGTTTTAAAGACTTTTAAAATGATAGATTTTAATAAATTTTGATTGACTTTCGAGTCGTTCAAAACTTTTTAAAACTTTATAAGACTCTATAAAAATCTATATAAAAAAACATTCATAGACTTTTATCAACTTCTTATTTTTAAAAGTCTACAAAAGTCATTGAAATTCTAAATTGAATACATCCTTACAAACTTTTAATGATTTTGATTCTTATCCTTTATAATTTTCTTACAAAACATTTATAATATATCATAAAATTCTTTTTATTATATAGTTCTTCACCTACATCAACATTGTCAACATTATTATTTTTATCCATAGTATGCTGAGACTTATATATATTATTAATAAACATCAACAAAAAAAAAAAAAAACTATTTCATTAGAAATTCATAACAATATTGAAAAATAAAATTTATAATAAAAGAATTGATCAAATAAAATATTTAAAAATACACGAGTAATTACAAGTTTCATAAAATAAAAAAAATCTAATATTATATATATTATACTTGATATATTGCTAGACATCACGCAAAGAACTATTATTTGCAATAGCAATTTGAGACTGCGAACAACAATAAGGTGCTACTGTTTGCAACTCCAAATTGTTGTTGCGAACAGTAGTTCACTATTTGTAATAACCTATTGTTAAAAAAAAAAAGGAAAAATATATATTACGAATATAAACATAAAAAGAATATATAAAAATCAAAATATATAAGTATTTATATGAATATTATGAAACATATACTAAAATTTGACAATGAAAAATTTGCTTTATTCATGTGTTTAGGGAGAATTAGAGAAAGTTAGAGATAAAAAATTCATAGAAAAAAATAAAAATCAATATAAACACGCAATAATGAAGTAAAAATAATATTATTTCAAATTTTTAGAGGAAGATGGTAAAGTTTAGGAGAGAGGAAAATTGGTAGAGTTTAGGTATGAGGAAAATATAGGATAATGAAGAAAAAATAATTTTATTAAATTTAGATAGGTTTATAAAGTTTAAATATGGATTAAAAATAGAGTTTAAATATAGAGAAAAACATTCAAAGTTGTTAGAAAGAAAATTTTGAAATCTTGGGGTTGATGGTTGGATTTCAAGTATTTATATTTTTGAAGGAAAAGTCTACAAAAGTCCTAAAATTAAAAAGTCTACAAAAGTCCTAAAATTAAAAAGTCTACAAAAGTTCATAACTTTTTGAATACCACATGACTTAAACTCTCTAAAAGTCTTAATCGAATACCACATGACTTTTAAAGACTCGTGATTGAATACCGCCTGACTTTTAAAGACTCTCTAAAAGTTTGAATTGAATACCTCCAAACTTTTATAAATAAAGTTCATAAAAGTCTTTAAAACTCTATGAAAGTCATGATTGAATACACCCCTAAGTATGACTATTTTCGTTTAATAAACTCAAATATATATATATATATATAAAGATCAAATCAGAAATTCCCTTCCGTGAGAACCTGCGAACCTACATAAATGCACACAAACTATTTCATGGAAGATTGTGTGCATTGGAATCCGAAATTGTGTGCATATTTTAGTTTGATTAACGGTTAATGGTTTTAAAAAAATTAGACTATCTATTAATTTGGTTCGAATGTGTTGGTTAATTAAATTGTTGGTATTTATATATTTTGTTTTTTTTATATAATTAATAAATCATGTTTGTTAAATACTATCATTTATATATTGAAGTAATGACTATTTGTGTGGTGTGAAATTTTGGTTTGAAATTTTTGTTTATAAATTTTAAGGATTATAAAATTTTACTAAAATATTTCAATTCATTGATTAACCAATCAATTATTTTTTTTTAAAAAAAAAAATTGTTCGATTAATTAAACAAATAAAAAAATTTGATTAAGTTATTGATTAAAGTATTTTATAAATTCAGTTAATTCAATTTGGCTACTAAGGGAATGACCATATGCATTTGTGGCAAACAACATCAAATTATTATGTGGGTCTGGATTCACTTTGCAAGGTGAATCGAGTCTAAAGATACACAAATTATATACTAAATATTCACAATTTATCTTTTTAAATTTTACAATTTGTGATGACCATGTATTGTATTCACAAATTCTCAAAACTTAGAAACATAATTTATATTCTAAAAATTCACAATTTCAATACTAAAAGTACACAATTTAATATCAGGGTCCATCTTACAAGGTGGATCCTCATGGACCATGGTCCATACAATTGTGTGAACCATGAATATCAGGTATATTTTTAATATATTAAAAGTATATTATTTTTGTATTAAAGGTACATTATTTTTGTATTGAATGTACATTATATAAAATAATGTACCCTTAGTATATTTAAAATGTACTTTCAAAAAATGTACCTTACTTACATAAATAATATACCCTTAGTATATTAAAAATGTACTTTTTATTTATGATCCACACAATTGTGTGGACCATGGTCCATGCAATAATGATTGGTCCATGGTATAACAAGTGATCCCATTGATAACCAACAAGTAGGGAAGTTTACCATAATGGGCTAATACAAACTACTTCACAAAATAGCTTGCATAATTTGTTAATTGTCAAATAAGCCCAATAACAAGTTAACAAATGTCACAAGGGCAATAAAAACCCTTTCAATGATCTTCTTTTCTCCCTTCAAGCATTCTTGTGATGAGATCGTGAGTCTTGTTATGTAAAGGGTTATGCCAATTATGGATGTTTGATTCTTGTTTTGGGTCCTCTTCTTGATTATTAAAAAAAAAAGAAAAAAAAAAAGAGTAAAGACTTCATAGTTGACTTTACATCTATGTATAATTTGTTGGTTATTATATAAGAACAAAAGGTGCATTGTATATACTCTTGAATAGTGACTAACAAGTTTCTTTGTCACTTAAAAATAAGGCTTCCAATAATATTTTTAAAAATGTATTTTAAATTCTTTTGTTAAGTTAGGGAAATGAAATTATTCATTTTTTGGAGAAAATAACACTTTTGAGTTTTGACCCCTGAATTGTTTCACATTTGAAACTTTAGTCATTGTAAATTAATTTAAACAAATTTAGCTCATTAATTATTCATAATGTTGCACTTGACCCCTTAATTGTTCATAATGTTGCACTTTTAGTTGTTAGTATTATATAATTGTCAAACTCCATTAACATATGAGATTATTTGTATCATTTAGAATTAATATTCACTGCTAAAAATGATGTTCACATTGAGAGAGTACGTGAAACTTTGAACATGGATATTGATTCTAAATGACAAAACTAACCACATAAAAAGAGTTTTGTAGTGGAGTTTGATAATCATATATAACACCAAGAACTAAAAGTGCAACATAATGGATAATTAAACAACTAAATATGTTTAAATCATTTTCAAAAAAAAAATGTTTAAGTCAATTAACAAAGACCAAATTTCTAAAAGTGAACAATTCAGGGGCCAAAAGTGTTATTTTTACTCACTTTTTTATAGATAAATTGAAAATTTCGCTAATAATATGTTTGGTTCATGAAATGAATTTTGAAAAAATATGGATATTATTAAATATAATATAATTTTTTTTATTTAATTGTTTAGTTCATTGAAGGAATATACTTCAAGAATTGTATTAAAGTGTTTGATTAGTTTAAGTAATAAAAATGGAATAAATATTCAAATGACATAAATATCATTTATATTGCATTTGTAATATAAGAGAGAAAATAACAATAACAACAATAATAATAATACTCCGTAATAATTATTTGTATAGCACATATTTATATTAACAAAATTATTAATTAAGAACAACCCGAACATAAACAAAGATAGGGCCGATGTGTGCATCTATGCATAAACATTATATATATATATATATATATATATATATATATATATATTCTTCCAAAAGGTTGAATCCCAACCCTAAGGGCCCCTCACATCCTGACCCGACAGAACATTTGGAAGGATGTAAATCATGATGACTCAACTGAACATGAACCACAGAGGCTAGACCGGTAAAAAAAAAAAACTATTCTAAAAAGTTTGAAGATAACTAATAAC